GGGGTTGGGGGGGAAGGATGCGGGCCTCCTGGGTGCAGACGTCACTCCTACCGCATCTGCCAAGCTGGCTCTGCACGCAGTGGGAATGAGGAAGAAGGAAATGGGCCCCCCCAGAACCCCATCCGTATTTTCTCCGATGTTAGCATAAAATAATAGCTAACATTTATTAAGTACGTACCGCACGCCAGGCTCTGTGCAGAGCGCTTCCCCTCCCTCATCTCACTGAATCCTCCCAACACCCCTTTGAGGGAGAGACTGCTGTATATGCCTATTTTCCAGACCAGGAAACAGGCTCAGAGAGGAGCTGATTCCTGAGGAATCTGACATTGTGCTATGACGACATGCTCTTCCCATCACTGTTTATCTTAAAACTGGAGAACTTGGAGGCCTGAGCCCCGGGCCTGGCTCTCGAAAAGTCTGGCGGCTGGATGAGGGGAGAGTAGAAACAACCCCTCCTAGGCTCAGGGGAGTCAGCAGGGCCTGGGGTCACTCGTGGGGGTAGATGTGGGAGGCAGGAATCTTGGCCTGCAGGAGAAAGATGATCGGTTCGATGGAATCAATAATAATGATTTTATTTTTGTTTTTGTCATGTTTGTTATTTTTTCATGCCTGCATTAAGGGCTAGGTGCTGTGGGGATGTCACAGACTTCTTTTCGTGGCAATGCTCTCCGCGTCTTCGTTTTCTGGGGAAACTGAGGCCCAGTGTGGCTAAGTGACTTGCCTGAGTTGACACGGGGAAAGCCAAGATTCACTCTCTGGTCTGTCTGACCACACCTGCCTGCCTGGTGATTTGGGGAAGGTGGGTTCAAAGCAGGTTTTTATATTGGTGCAAGTTTGTCCAATAAAGAGGTTCAGGTGTTGTTCATGACAAATCTAACAGGTGTGAACGTGTACCCTAACTCCATCAAACAGATGTAGAAACGGGCTCAGGAGGAGAATTGGATGCCTAAAGTTACACAATGAGGGGGTTCTAGAATCTTCCCCTCAGGCCTAACGTCTGGGGGCTGATGGCCTGTCTCTCTCTAGCCAAGCCAGCTGTCAAAAGCATGCCTCTGTGCCGTTGGGGTGCCACCACCAGGGACAGCAAGCCTGATGGAGATGGAGCTCAGCCCATGGCCACCAAGGGAGGCCTGAAGGTCCTTCTACACTGGGCTGGCCCTGGCGGCGGGGACCCCTGGGTCACCTTCAGCGAGGCCACACTGACTGCAGAGGAGGTCTGCATCCACATTGCACAAAAAGTCGGTGAGTCTGGGGCGTTAGCCCTGTGGCAGTGGTGAAGGTGCTGACAGCAGCTGGGCCCATCCATCTGTCCGTCCGTCCGTCCATCCGTCTGTCTGCCCGTTCATTCAGCAGACATTGAGTGAGCAACCACAGTGTGCCAGCCCCAAATCACTGCCTTTGTAGAGCTGATATTCCAATAGGAAAATTAGCAAGAAACACAATGAATAAGAAAACCATGTGGGAGGGACGCCTGCGTAGCTCAGTCGGTTAAGTGTCTACCTTCGTTCGGCTCAGGTCACGATCTTGGGGTCCTGAGATCAAGCCCCACATCAGGCTCCCTGCTCAGTGGGGAGTCTGCTTCTCCCTCTCCCTCTCCCCACCCCAACTCGTGCTCATTCACTCGCTTGCTCTCTCTCAAATAAATAAGGTACTAAGAAAAAAAAAAACTGGGGGCGCCTGGGTGGCTCAGTGGTTAAGCATCTGCCTTCGGCTCAGGTCATGATCCCAGGGTCCTGGGATCGAGCCCCGCATTAGGCTCCCTGCTCCGCGGGCAGTCTGCTTCTCCCTCTCCCACTCCCCCTGCTTGTGTTCCCTCTCTCGCTCTCTCTCTCTCTGTCAAATAAATAAATAAAATCTTTAGGGCGCCTGGGTGGCTCAGTTGGTTAAGCGACTGCCTTTGGCTCAGGTCATGATCCTGGAGTCCCAGGATCGTGTCCCGCATCGGGCTCCCTGCTCGGCAGGGAGTCTGCTTCTCCCTCTGACCCTCCTCCCTCTCATGCTCTGTCTCTCATTCTGTCTCAA